TCAACATCAGACATGACAATTAGCACTCCTAGTCTAGCCCAACGATGAAGTAAATTAGCCAAACAAAATACGTGTAAAGTATTACATTTTCTTTCTTAATACTACTACCTCTTCCAGAAAAATTATTCAACACCAGCTATCATTCGCAAAATACATTTAGGAACAAAACACTTTTATATTAAGTGTTTTGAAAAAATAGGTTCTTCATGGCTACTCTACTTTCTCATGCAAGTGTTAGCATCATACATATTCTACTTTATTTACAAAAAGTTACTATTTCTCGTTAATTACAAGCATTTCTATTCATACGTTTACGACATGAACGTATTTTCTCAGAAACAATACAGTTCATCATTAAGAATTAAAGCTATAGCAATATGCACTACCGGCACTTGTGTTTAAATTTGTTTTTTAAATTATGATAAATAATTAAAAACAACGTTTTATATTTACACAATATATTTGAGCTCATGATTTTTTGTGGTTATTAAATGTATTGTTCTTTTTTCTGAACAACTGCGTCACATGTAAAAATTAAAATGAGAAGACATTTCCCAACAGTTGAAAATTTTAAGTCTGCAAAAAGAACTCCACAATTATGTAATTCAATATAAAAATATATGCAAATTCTTAATTGCAGGGTTGGTTGACATGCGTGTTAATCATATTGTGTAAATATAATACGCTGTTTTTAATTATTTATTATAATTTCAAAAAGCTATAGCGATATTTCATTAATAGTAATCATACGTCCACTTTAAGCAATACGTACTGTAGCTCTTTGTTCTACGTTTTACATCTAGCTCTGTTTTAATATCAAAATTATGATCACTAGTAGTAAAATGGTTTTACAATCAGTAAGAAAAAGAGTGCATCAGTGAGATTACTCTCAAGTTGCCTATTTCAAACGAGCGTATAGCTTAGATTCACTAGAATATAACTTAGATAACGGGCGATGCAACGTACAGGAGTAACGTTTATGGCTTTCACGTCAGCGATCAAATTTGCCCGGCCTAATAAAGTTCATTATAGAAAGCGAATAATATATATATATATATATATATATATATATACTAATATTACTACGTACTGCGTAGAAAAGAAAAGTAGGACTACTACCATTCGTTTACCCTTACCCTAAACTAAAACTACTACGTAACTAAACGAACCAA